TTTAAGCTGTCCAGTTTGTTACCAACCATGAAATCTGGATGCTTAACATTTTCAGAATAAAAGTAAAGCTTAGGTTCACTTCCCACATTTTACAGATGACCGCATTACATATAAGCAAACGTGGGCTCATCAGTTTACTGATACATGTCATGTCAAATGTTTTACACTCACAAATTAACCTGCAAAAAGGTTCACTTTAATGTGACATAAAATGTGTTATTATTATTAGGATCAATAATGACAATTGGAAGAAAAACTCAAGAGAAAGAACCTTGCATTAACCGAAACAATGTTTGAACATTAGCTACAAGATAAAGGTTTTGATGTTTAATTTGATGTTCAATTAGTAAAACTATAAGGTCATATGAGGTTTCCAGTTTCCAATCATATAGTTTTATTTATTTATTTTTTAGTAAAAAATAATGCATAGGATTTCAAACAAGCAAGCCATTGTTTTTCCCACTGTTGTTTCCATGACATTATTTCATGAAACAAACAAATTAGTTGTAGGTTCTGTAGGAGCTGACAGCTTGAGGCAGTATTGACAATAAAGTAAAAAAGAAAGCAAAGGAGAAAGGCATTTTATAGACTGTAGTGTAGAAAAGACATCATTCAGTCACTGCAGGTGATGAATCTGTGTTGAGAGTTTGATTTTATGTTGTTGTTTTTTCTTTTGGCTGTTCCCTTCTTCAAGGCTCGTCACAGTGAACTAACTCACATGAAGACTTGGCTATTTTTAAGCCAGATACTCTTCCTGACACAACCACAGATCACTGAGCTACCACAGCCCTCTGTGTGGAGCAGAGAGCTGCCATCTAGGGCACCCAGGGGAGCAGATGGTGGGGGTTAAGGGCCTTGATCAGGGGACCAGAGTGGGGCAAATGAGGGTGAAGGCAGGTATTGATGTTTCACCTTCCCCACCCACATTTTGATGTTGACGGTCCGGGGAGTTGAACCAGCGACTTTCCGATCACAGGCTTCTCTAACCTCCATGCCACCACTCCCATTTTAATCTGTAGTAATGAATAAAAAATGTCTCAGATCACTTTCAGTGCCATCTCTGCCTGCATCCCACAGCTATCTGCCTCAGTGGTGCACTGATAACACCAGAAATAATAAACTGACTACAACAGCAGCAAAAGAAAAAAATTACACAAAATAGGATTAATTAAAATAACAATACAACAATTAGGCAATTAGGTCATACATACCGTAGCAGAATGTTGATCAAGATAGTACAGCACACATTGATGTCACATATTCCTATTCCAGCTGTGTGTTTATCAACACTGTACTCTGTAATAATCAGCTGGCTATTTAATTGTGGCATAACTCATCCAAATGGATGGAAAGTGGGGAACCAGCTGTTTGTTGCAATATGCTGCTTGCACACCACAGTAAATGAACAGATGTGTTTAAACTGTGGTAATGTACTGAAGAATGATGTGAACAAGACCAAAGGATGGATGGTCAGCAGTTCTCTGAGCACCAGGTGTTGCTTATAAAAAGTCTATTTAAACAAAATCTCAGCCAAAAAAAAAATAATCCAGAGCACAAGTAAGCATTTATGAACACTCCCACCATTCAAACCACTTATATCTATTATCTGTCTCATTAGTGTTGCATGACAACAATACACTTTGAAGTGCTGCCCAGCAAACTTCAGCCTGTCTCCCACACAGCTAGCATCATCATCATCAGGTGCAGCAGGTGTTCAGCGAGGAAACACAGGGTGAGCAAGTCGTTATAATCCAGTAAGCAGCCTAAATGTTGCTTTTTATAAAGATGCAGACTCAAGTAAAGATACAAAAGTGGGAGAAAAGAGGGGAGCACATTTTCCAGTCAAATTTTTATAATTGTTTTTTCCACGTTATAATATTTATGTATAAAAATTGGTAATTCTTTCTGACTACGCACCATTTATTGTGTTAATGCACTGCAACAAACAGCTTTCCAAACATTAAGCAGTTATATAACAAAAATTGTTAGCTGCCAGTCAGAGTTAAATCCCCCTCCATCAAGATGGTAAAAATGATATAAAGCAGTTAATCAGTCAATTAACTGACTTTTTTTCCTCAATATCTCATCTGTCTACATAACTCTATACATGTGTATTGACTAGCCTGTTTTATTGTTCACCTTGAGACAATTCTGTTCCATCTGATTAAAGTAAATCTTATCTAAGCTGTAACAAACTGAGCAGAATCCTGGGTGTTAATGTCCCAAGTCCAATTCTGCAATTATAAACGTAAAGTCTACCATGAGAGAGAGAGAAACTACAAATTCAATTTATTTTTCCAATATCACTTGGCTCTGGTTTAAAACTAATTTGATTTGACAAATTGAGTATTGCAGATGTGAAGAGAAAGTGCTGCAGTAAGCGTGTGTTTTATAACACCCCCCGATCTTATTTCTCTTATGAAAAGTCGTCAAACCCAACCACAAGAGACCGTGCTTCTGCTGCAGAGTCCAGCCTTTTCATTTCCTCTGATAAAATTTAAACAGACAAAAGGTCTAATGAATCAAAAGACATCTTTAATCAAACACGAGCTGCAAATATGTCAATATACTGTATATAAGCTTTTTTCTTTTGTGTGTGTGTTTTATTTTGATTAAAGGATTTATATCTTCCACTATAATAACTTGATCCCTGTAGTCACTTTGAAGAGAATTAGGACGTAAAAACTTGTTATAAAATGATCCATGAAAAAATAAAATACACAAACACTAAACTTAAATAACCCAAGAGAATGAGTGTAATCATTTCTGTCACATTGCAACCATTAAACACAACTTCACGTTGCATCACATCTAACAGTCAAACAAAACCACTTAAAGAAACTTTGAACACTTGCACATGAAACTGATTCATTTCTCACTGAACAAACTTTACTTCACTGAAGTTTAGACTATATGTAAGTTCAGAAAACATGACACTGTTGAAACTTGTTTCTATGCAAACCGCATTGTGTTGTAGTATGACAAATCAATTTGAGTAGGTGGGGAACATTTACATTGTCAGATGAATGACTCTCTTGAATGATTGATCGTGTCTCTTTTCAAAGACATGGTCCCCTGTTTCAGTGCATAGAGCGGTGCCCCACCAATATAGTTTACATGTGAGGCAGGAAATAATTCATCATCCACATAGAGTTTACCCAGAATGCTCTGCAGAACCTGAAGACATCACTCAAAGCAAAGACACAACTCATATGGTATCCAAAAACAATATCCATGTTTCATCGAATAATTAAATACACATTTCAAGGAAAAGCAGTCAGTTATATACATCTATAAACATTTTATTGAGTGAAGAACAAACCCCCCAAAAAAAGTGTTAGAAGCTCAATCATCCTGGTACATGTAGATAACAACAAAAAGATTAAATCATGTCATCTGGACCAGTTTCATTAAGTGAAAAACGTTTCGTCCCCCATCCGGAGGACTTCCTCAGTCTACGGCCTGCCAACCAGTGTCACGATTGGTGCTGGTGAACCCAGTGTGCAGGCAAGCAGGTGAGGACTCAGGATTTATATAAAAATAAAAGATTTAATAACAAAACAAAAGAGCTGACAGGGCAGCAAAAAACAAACAAGGATGGACAGGTGGTACTTACAGACAGGTCATCAACAGTGAACAGTAGACAATGCCAGGACAAAGACCAACACAGAGACACAGACTTATATATAGAGAAACACTAATCAGACAAAGTGAAGGCAACTGTGAGTGATCACAGATGCCAGGAGACAGAGACTGAAGACGCAGGACATAAACACGACACAAGATGGGGCTAGACACCAAAGAAACACAAACCCTGTAGAGTCATAAACAGAGGATCAGGGAAACACAGACATGAACACAACACCAAGTACAAAACCACCATTCCTACAACCAGATCTGTCCCATAGGTAGCATTCACTGCTGGCAGGTTGTAGACTGAGGAAGTCCTCTGGATGGGGGATGAAACATTTCTCACTTAAAGAAACTGGTCCAGATGACACAATTTAATCTTTTTGTTGTTATTATATGGAGCGTTTTACACAAGTTCTTTAAATCTCTTATACATCAAAACACTTCAGCAAACATATGAAGCAGGTTTAAATGCTTGAGACTGATTCAGATACACACTTTCACACAAACAGGCAGCTCTGTCAACTGCACGCAGTCGGTGAGGGTGTGTCACATCTTTATCGCTCAGAGAGAAAGACCACATCATGCCCCCATCTATCTGAAGTACAATCTGCTGAAGTACAATCTAGGAGTTGCAGCGCTGTGAGGGCACGTTGCACCACACTGAAAAAGCTGTCACTACGTTGGCATTTTGTCTGGACAAAAGCACCGATGTTGACTTATTCAGAAACAGATAAGCAGGCACAGTAGAAGTCATTGTTGCACACATAGTATGGACAAGACCCATTTTTCTCACCCGATCTGAACACACAGTGACAGGTGCGGAGCAGCCTCGTAAAATATATCTTAACTGTTCAAGTAGAGAAAGTTTTCACCTTCATGATTTTCTAATCAAAATCATTTAAAGTGTTTAGCATATCTTACAGTTCAAAGTTCAAGAGTAATTATAGCCAGTGGCCTGTCTTCTCTTAACTCTGTTAGCAAACACTCAACAAAGCTGGCGCTCAACTTCAGTTCTGTTAAACCAAGCTGGCCAGATAAGTTCAATAAGTACAACTTATTATTTCCTCCAACTCTTAAAGTATTGTCTGTTCTTCAAACCAGTTAGCTGAGGTAATAAAGGGAAGAGTATTAATATAAAAATTGGCTTTTGTCTTGTTGAGTCAGAAACCCTGGAGAGAGTGGCAACAAGTTAGCATTAATTTCAATCTATTTTTAACAAATGAAGGGTTGTTATTCTGGGGATGCCCAAACAGGGGACTGCTGAGTACATGAGAGCGGAGTGTCTGAGTGTGTTTCTGTCTGTGTGTGTATCTGTCTCTGTGTGTGTTTGTCTGCGTATTGCTTATCCAAACAGTGATTCGTCTTACCTTCCATAGATGGAGCTTGGTCCTGGGCAGCGTACAGCATATCCTTGAAGGCCTGGAGATGACACAAAAATCAAAAATGACTGTCTGCACATACTAACAAATAAAGACAAAAGAAGCATTTAAATGAAAAAAATCTGATTTGTTTGATTCATTAAAGAGTGTATGAAACATTCACCGAAGCTTTAGACTTATTCACGTCTTTTGAGAGCCACAGCAATTTCCACAACATTCATGGTGAATTTGCTGCTGAATCAGCTAATAAGATTGTTTCCTTCTTTCTGCTATTTTTCATTTTATTTGTGATTGTATTTCTTATTGTATATTGAATTGTTTTGTTTTGTTTTTAAAAAATGAAAAAACTTTTAAATAAAATAAAATAAATAAGAAGTTCAGAGAACGATTAAGGTATTTTTTTTTTTTTTTTTACATGTGAACAGTGAAGATGCTTCAAATAAATGCATTTTTAATAACTGTATGACTAAAAGCAATCATTATTATGAGCAGGTAGGGAGTTTAACCTGTCCTTCAATGTTTGCTGTAAATAAAGCTTTGGCATTTTTGGTTGCAAACCTTTTGCATCATGTCCTTTGGACACTCAGGAGTATTTATAGTTATGAGAAAACATCTCGTGTGGACAAACTCCAATTTGCATTTGTGAATAAATTATAAATATTTTCAGATTTCCTCAACTTTCTCTAAATAAATAATATTAATACTTAAGTGCTATGTATTGTCATCATTGTATGTTCCCATACAAAGACGAAATTGGCTCTCTGCATTTAACCCATCGCACCGGGGATACACCCAGGTGGAGCAGTGGGCAGCTATGTGAGCACCCAGGGAGCAATTCGGGATTGGGTGTCTTGCTCAGAGACACCATGACATGTGGGAATGGCTGAGGTTTGATTCAACAACTCTGATCATTTTTCTGTGAGATACAACTTCTCTAAGTTCAAAGACTTACTTTGTCACAGATGTCCAACGAGGATAAAATAACTAATGTTATAACATATTTCGCAAAAGCGTTTAGCAACTGATCTCATTGTATAAGAATGACCATCATAACATGCAACCCTGGATTTATTGTAAAAAACAAGGTTTTAATGCCTCTTAAATGTTTATGGTATTGTTTTGTTTGTTGTCCAGGGTTTTGTAACACCTGCTTCTTTAGACACATACGGGAGCAACGGGAGAAATCCAACGAGTGGGGGGAGACCACTCAAAAACAAAGTGCATTAGAAGCAGCCTGTTGATCACTGATATGACTGTTTTACAGTAAACTACATCCACATTGATAGTCCAGCACTAAAGTCTACTCCAAGAGGAAATCATTTTGCTATGAGCACTGAGCTGCCAAGAACAATGGAGCCAGGATAATAACTACTAGTCAGCAGCCAACACAACCAAAATTGAGAAATTGTGATTTCTGATTTGAATTGGGGGAGGGGGAGGACATTGCCAGATGAGGCAAGAAAGATGAGCATTTCAGCCTTTTAGGAAACTGATTCAGACCTGCAGATTTGGCAGAAATTATTCGTGAAAACTGTGAACGGTCTCTAAACCAAGCTGACTGTCATGAAATGACAATAGTAAACACTCAATAAATGAAAATTAATTTGACACGTGTACCAGACTTGAATCACCATGTAAAACTAAAAATAATTCTGGAGAATGGCCAGCTGTCTCTGAATGAAAGAGTCAAACTATCAGGAGGACATAAATCAGGATATTTAATGCTCTATGACCAAATCTAATCAGGCCCAAGAGGAAATCCATTCTTCTCCTGAAACAGATCCATAGCTCTAACAGAACGCCATCGGATCGCTTGAGCCTGCAGCTCTAAGTGGATCCCAACGTGAAGAGAAGTGGAGAGGATGTAAGAAGAGGCTGAAATGGGAGGAGTGGTGCAGAGGGCAGGTCTGGTGAGGGACCAGATGTCTTCCCAGTGGGGGAGGAGCGATGAGGTGAGGATGGAAGGGAGGAGGGAGGTATAGAAAGGAGGACTCTCAGCAGTTGCCTGTTGTATACATAATAATCACATTGCACATGACTCACACGCTCATTGCTCAAAATACAGACTAGGCTGACCATTTTAAGTTTTTATGACCTCTGAATAAAACTAAACTCACAACTGTTCAAACTAATAAACACTTAGGTTAAGATAATGTGAAGAGCTTAACCTTTAAACACAAGAATCGTTTTTAAAATCACGCCCACACTTCCTTTAAGTCATGATTATTTGAAGAGTAAATATGAATCTTCACACATGCACTGCCCTCCTCCTCCTCATTTAGTGAGGAGGCAAATGCAGAAACGGCCTCGTTCGTTCTCTCTCTCTTCTTTTCTCACAGATTTCTGCAGCTCAGATCTAGACCAGCGGATAGCCCATCTAAATTCAACAGTTGACATGTTTTTACCTGTAAAAGCTCAAAAGTAGAAAATGTCATACGTGTTGCAACTAGTAGATTTTTCTCTTCATCATCATGCATCTCCTGCTTTAGGTGTGAGCCTCTGGAGATGGCAGGACGCACACACCACCATCACAAACAGCTGTTTAGCAAATAGCTTTATACCTACAGCACCACAGGACAAAGAGTACACCTCATTATCCTTTCACGCCATCACCTTGTCAATGTGTCCACGTTCAAATGGAGTGTCTTACTTATTCAAACCCGCGCTTGCTGACACTTTTTGCAGCCTCCTGCTTCTCTGCATAGATACTGGCTGACCAATCTAATCACACTGCGCACAGTTTATACACAATAGACTGCGATGAAAAAATGGAGGAGAATGAAAAGCGGGCAGCGGGTTAATTAATATCGGCAGCGTGAAGACAGAATATCGCTTCAAACCACATCCAGTTTGGACGTGAGCAGCTGTAATGTTTCACATGTAAAAATAAATGGAGAAATGCATGAACGGTTGGTAAAAATGATTTAAGATATGTCAACCAAGAGACACGTGTTATGTTGGCTTCAGGAGAACATGAGGGATTGTTTGGATATTTGTTCATGCATACTCAGACAATACTGATTTCTTCAAAAAAAAACTTTGTTTAACCTCTCTAGAAATGACTAGACTTTACTTTTATGACTGTTTGGTTTTATAGACTGACTAGTGAGGAAGATCCAAATCCGCCATCAGCAGATATGAGCTGTCTACCTGCCTCACCCACTCAGGTGTTTACAGAAGACAGACAAAGGCTTAAAGCACACACACACACACACACACACACACACACACACACACACACACAC